TACACAGATGAAGATGTTAAAGCAAGGATCGAAAAGACAGCAAGATAGGCATTGATCAATCTGAAACCAGTGTGATGATCTACTGTACTCAGCATAAAGCGTGAACATGATCCGGATTTTCAACAGTAATTCAGTTAGGTCAGTACCTGCTTCTATATGATGGTTGAGAGAGTTGATGCATCATGAAAAACGTTTTCAACAAACTACAGACATTCATCAACAGCTGCTGCATACGATCACTTGTTACTGAAGATGAGATCAGATGGTCAGAAAGAATAAGCAAGAATGAAATCTGGTTAGCAACAAACGAACCAAGAATTTTTCGCCTAACAAAAATGCAGAAGAAGAAAATCGAGATGGATTGAATTGAACACATACTGAGGAGACGGTTTGGGGACATCACGCTTCACGTCAGGCAATCGAGTGAAAGCCAAATGGGAAACGATGAGTTGGGTGTCCCACGGTAACATAAAGGAGGAGATGGTATGAGAAAGAAATGAAAGGTTATATGAAGTCGTGGAGCCAGGTTGAGAAACAAGACTGCCGATAAGAGAGTGAAATGGCGATGTCCTACTGAAACACTATGCTCCACTAGGAACCCAAAGGACAAATAATAATCACTTAAAGTGTTTGAAAGGCAGATATGATCTATTGTTGGTTTATAAAGTAGATAGCAGTTTGGCGTCAATCCAAAATTGAATTGATCAGAGTTATTTCTTGAAGTTCGACACATCAAGAGAGAGACAGAGATGAATTCAACGTGGGAGCTTGCATCGGTTCAACTTATCCCATAATTCACATGGATTACACTAGAAGTAGTTGATATTACCCATAGGTGGTGTAACTGCTTGTTCTCTAGGCACTTCCATGGTTCACCACATCGATTGACTGACTTACCCTTGGTTGCCATCTAGTGATCATCTCGTTCAAGTTGTTGAAACTCTTCAACTAAGTAAAATCAGTCAATCCATTCAGCTGCTTCATTCTCTTTCCTTAAAACTGATAGTACTTACGGCATTTATATTCTATTCTATGCTGAAGAAATTGATAGAACATTTCAGAAGTAAGGATTTGATAAGTTGTCATATAAAAGTACTTTTTAAAAAACAAATTAGATGATTATTGAAGATGAAATGAAGGCGTATATCAGTGTGAAGGATTCGAACCAGTAACCTTAAAGCTATCAACACAATATTTTGCTGATACAAAAAAAAACGTTAGCACGAATCTTGTCACCTGTTATGTCAGAATCTGTAACACACACACACACACACACTGATGTTGATCAATCTGGAGACAATTTGTTTGAGAATACTACATATTAATCAATGAAATTGTCAATTTATGTTAGAGGTCTATAAACGTCTATTATTATTACTTGTCCCTTGGGTTCTTAATGACCAATAGGGCTTCAATAGCACGTCTGCAATGCGCTGTCTTCTCTAAAATCTTTTGAACGTGCCTCTGTGACAGCCCAGAAGCTGTCATTTCCTCCTTGCACAATCTCCTCCATGTCACCCTCAGCTCGGATGCCCAACTATTCGCTCCCCATCTGGGTTCCATTCAAGGGACCGGCCTGACGTGTGATGTCTCCACTGGACCTTCTCAATGTATGCCAAATACATCTCCACTTCCTTCCAGTGCATATTTGTTGACCAATAGGTTATTGGTTGTTTCGTTGCTAGTCAGAGTTCCTTGTTGTTTATTCTTTCTGGTCATCTGATCTTCAGCAATGAGCGTAGACAGTTGTTGATGAATGTCTGTAGTTTGTTGGAAATCCCTTTCGTGACGTGCCAAGTCTCTGAACCATACAGGAGCACTGACTTGACTGAATTGGTGTTGGAAATCCGGAGCTTGTTCACGCTTTATGCTGAGTACAGTGTAGTAGATCTCCACACTGGTTTCAGGCTGTTGAACGCCTGTCTTGCTGTCCTTCCGATCGTGGCTGACTTTGACCTCTTCTTCTGTGCTGTGCTACTTGTAATTGAGACGATGTTGCCTAGATGGGTAGGTGAAAGAGACTACTTCCTTTAAGTTTCTCCCGTTGATGATGATGTTCTATAAACGCCTAGGAAGCGGTTATTTTCTTCTCTGTCTCTTTCTCTCTGTATGTCTGTCCTTTTGTTGTTATCCACCTTAGTATAAATCGACAATTCTGCTATCATTTACTGCTTTTATGATCCGTTCCAATGGTTTGTGATTCTTTCAGATAAATGGATCCTTACCCGACTTAATATGTTACTAATACAATTATTACTACACGATGATGACAATTGGTACTACTGTTGGCGATTATGTTGAGGATGATTCCATTGGTATATGAACCAAAAAGGAATGTAAAACTGGTACTTACATTACTTACTCCACTGGACGAGATTTGACTTGGATTGGCTTGAATCAACTTGAATGTCGCTGTGATACTACTTAACTTCACTTGATTCGACCTGAACTGGCTCGACTTATCTTTTGGGTTTCTAGTGGAACATAAGGCTTCACTCTTTTCTCTACAGTATGTTGAAGATGACTCTACTACTGCTCAGAGGCTTTCACTTCTTCCTCACAACATCTCAACTATGTAAGCCTCAGACGATGAACTCCACGTTTCCCATTGAACATCTACTGAACGAAATGCCACAGTGTGGAACGCGATTCAATCCAATCCATCTACACATTCTTCTTCTACATATTTGTTGAGTGATAGCTTCCTACTTAGTTCTTTGCCACAGTGAGTTCCATGTTGCTTATTCTCATTATTCTGTCCATCTGATCTCATCTTCGGTATTGATTGAGTGTAGGTGTCAGATGTTGATGATGTATATGTGCAGTTGATTGGAAATGCTTTCTATAATGCATCAATTCTCCCAATCATCAGATGCAAGCACTGACGTAAATGATGAAATTATTGTTCAAAATCCAGATCTTGTACCATATGCTGAAAACAGAGTAGAGTAGAGTAGAGCAGAGCAGGGCAGTGCAGTAGATCCCCACACTGATTTGGAAGGGAGGCGTGTTTTGATGTCTTTCCGATTCTGGCTTTCACATCCTCATTTGTGCGTGCACTGCCTGTAGTTGAAATGATGCTGCTGCCTCCTAGATGGTGTGGTGAAAGAGACAACTTCCTCTACATTTCTCTCATTGTAGGTGATTCTTGCTTGTTGTTGTTATAGTTGTGTGTCTGCATCACTTTTGTCTTCTCTACGTTCACGTGAATGAAGTCGCGTCTTCCTTAGCTGCTCTACCTCATCTATCAATGTGTTAGTTTTTGCCTGTAGATGTTGCAGTTTGTGTGACATGTGACATTGGACATAAATCGTCATTGGCGAAATACCAATCTTCTCGTGGGGTTGTTTTTATTGTTGTGTCCAGCGTATGCCCATCTTCTCGCTCCTCACACTTGTTTGTTGCATGATGCAGTCGAGTCGAATCGAATCGAGTTGACCACAGTGAGGAAGTTGATCTATGATGATAGTAGATGTCAATTTTGTCTTACTCCTATCTTCACTTCACTTGACTTCAAAGGCATCACTAAGCTTTCCATTGTGAATCACTTGACATGCAGCCTTGTCAAATAGTTGTTGAATGAGGCAGCCTTGCCAGCCAGCTTCAAACATTGTGTGGCATTCCATGTCCTATGTTCACTTTCGCTTTGATCGAGAGAAGACGTGTCGGTCAATTGGCTTCCGATTGGTTTTCACCAACTGGCATCTTTTCGTCTCTCCGATTCCAGAGTGGATTAAGTTTATTTTTACGTTTTGTATTTTCTTTATGCTTCAAAGTTTCTTTACCGGTTACATTGATTTTACGGTGTAGGGTTGCTAGCCTTATACCCAACCTTCCCTTTTTATCTGGGCTTAGGGACCGGCTAGTAACTAGTAAACTGTACGAGGTAGCACCCGACTTACTATATTACTAAGACTACTACAATACTATTATGAGAATTGGTGCTACTGTTCGTGCTTATGTTGATGATGATTTCATTGGTATATGAACAAGAAAGCGAAGCAAACTGGTACTTACTTTATTTACTCATCAGGACGAGATTTGACTTCGGTTGGCTTGACTCGACTTAACTTAAGTTGACTTAAATTAACTTGGTCCTCGATTTTACTGGATTTGAATCGATTTCACTTGACTTGACTTGTGTTGACTCGGCTTGGCTGAGTTCATCTCAATATGACTCGGATCTACTTGACTTGAGTCGACTAACCTTGACTGGAGTTCACCTAATTCGAGTTGACACGATTTGCGTTGATTCGACGGAGATTTACTTGGCCGCAGTGGACTTGACTCCACTCGAATTGGCTTGACTCGAGTTGACTTGTTTTGACTCAATTCGACTCAACTTGATCTGACTTCGTTTGACTCAATTTGACTGAACTAAACTTGACGTGACTTAATTTTACTATAAGTGATTCGTTTCAACTTGCCTTGACTTGACTCACCCTCAATCGACTTCACTTAACTCAACTGGACTGGACTTCACTTGACTTCCTTTGACTTGATTTCACTTTACTCGATCCAACTTGCTTACACTCGGTTCAATGCAACTTGAACTCGAATCGACTCTAGTGCACTGGACTTGGGTTGACTTCTATTGACTTGATTCGATTTACTTGGAATTGTTTCCATACAACTCAGCTTGAATCATCAACTTGGCTGGAATGAATATGGCTTCCATTGACACTATTTAACTTTATTCGACTTGTCTTAACTCGAATTGACTATCTGAGATAGGAGACAAGTATTAATGACATTGAGTGATTATTGAAGGTGAGAAGTGAAAATTTGAATAGCACAGCCAGATTCAAATCAGTGAACACCATAAGGTGATTAGTTGATAGAGAATCGAGTACGATAACGCATTGGTCGCTGGTTCGAGTCCGGTCCAAATTTTTATTCCACCTTCAACTTCATACATTTATATATCATAAATGCATGATGATGATGATGATGAGTGAAAATCCAATCCATTATCTATATCTTATTTCTATTCAATCAAGTACGTCAATATACTCAACTCTGCTTGCATAATAATAATCGTTATAGTTGTGTTGTCGATGAATTGGAAACAGAGTAAGTTATGATCTATGTTAATTTGCTTATTTATTGATTCATTTATTAAGATACTACTTATAAGTAGCTTAGCTTTCGTATATTTATATAATGAGTCTGTTTGTTTTTTTTCTGTATGGCGGGTTGTTTTGTTTTCTATTTGTTGTTGTCAGCATATATATCCACTTGTATATAATGTGTTCTTCTTATGCACATGGTACCAAGTTAAACTGCATGTTTACACTAATTTTTACACAATAATAATATATAATGTAATAATATTTACATTATTTAATTTAAACAAGGATAAAATGATATTCAACCATTCAACTTAACTTCATCGACTTTGAAAAGGCTATCGGTCAAGGCGTCGACCATGAAGTAACCTGACAACTGCTTCAACACTATGGTTTCACTGTCATAAACATTCATCAACCTCATTCAACAGCATCTATATGTTATATCAGGATGCTACATGTCAAGTTGATTCACAATGGAAAGCTTAGTGATGCCTTTGAAGTCAAGTGAAGTGAAGATAGGAGTAAGACAAAATTGACATCTACTATCATCACAGATCATCTTCCTCATTATGGTCAACTCGACTCGACTGCATTATGCAACAAACAAGTGTGAGGAACGAGAAGAAGGGCATACGCTGGACACAACAATAAAAACAACCCCACGAGAAGATTGGTATTTCGCCAATGACGATTTATGTCCAATGTCACATGTCACACAAACTGGAACACCTAAAGGCGAAAACTAACACATTGACAGAAGACGCAGCGGTAGTGAAAGGAGATGGGACTACATTCACGTGGACGTAGAGAATATAGAGGGAACAACAATGCACAACTAACAACAACAAGCACCAACCTTTTTCGCCGCTTTACAAAAAGCATTTTCAACAGACTATAAACATTCATCAACAGTTGCCGCCTACACTTGCTCGATACTGAAGATAAGGTCAGAAGGCCAGAAAGAATAAGCAATAAGCAACAAACCAACCAACAGACAACCTATCAGCCAACAAATATGTAGGAGAAAGTGGGGATAGATTGGAAACACACTCAGAAGACGGTTTTGGGGACATCATGCGCCAGGCTGGGCGGTCGACAGTCATGTAGTCAGATTAAAAAACAAGACTGAATAGAAGAGAGTGAAATAGTGATACGTTAGTGAAGCTCTATGTTCCACTAGGAACTCAAAAGACAACTAGTAAAATAATAATAATAATAATAATAACAATATGCTGAAAGTATTTTATCCAGTATTGTAGTCAGCTACTCTGTTACTGAGATGTTCAAGTCCTAATTAATCCTTTACCAAGACTGGATAAGACAGAGTGACTAGTCATAGGTGAACAACTGATTCTATACCTGTCTACTATTAAATTTCTAATCGAATACTATAAATCATTCTCTTATAATATGACCAATAGACTTTCTGATACCCTATTATAGCAAACATTGATAAACATCGAAGAAAAAACGGTCTGATTCAATTTAACCAACCTAATGGTTGATACACATGAGTAAAGTGTCTTTGTATACATACACAAGTTGATTATAAATCCCTAAATCATATCAAATCTAGATGAAACAAGATAACTCAACGTTCAGCGTTCAACAAATTATCGACTTGTAAGTGATGGCTTACACAAGAGGAACGTAGAAATGTTTAATTAACGCAGATGATGGTTTTAACAAAACCATATCGATATCATCATACATTATCCTAGTGATAACTATCGAGGTATGTTCAAACTTATCATTATCTTATTATTTATCCTTTGGGTTCCAAGTGGAACCTATAGATTCAGTAGAGCGTACACATATCACTCTCTTCTCTACAGTCCCGTGGTTCAACATGGCTGTACTACTGCTCAGAAGCGTTCACTTCTTCCTCACATCATCTCAACTATGTAAGCCTCAGACGATGAACTCCACGTTTCTCATTCAACATCTACTGGACGACATGCCACAGTGTGGAGCTCGATTCAACCCAATCCATCTCCACATTCTTCTTCTACATATTTGTTGAGCCATAGCTTCCTATTTAGTTCTTTGCCACAGTGAGTTCCATGTTGCTTATTCTCATTATTCTGTCCATCTGATCTCATCTTCGGTATTGATTGAGTGTAGGTGTCAGATGTTGATGATGTATATGTGCAGTTGATTGGAAATGCTTTCTGTAATGCATCAGCTCTCCCAACCATCAGATGCAAGCACTGACGTAAATGATGAAATTATTGTTCAAAATCCAGATCTTGTACCATATGCTGAAAACAGAGTAGAGTAGAGTAGTGCGGTGCAGTGCAGTGCAGTAGATCTCCACACTGATTTTGAAGGGAGGCGTGTTTTGATGTCTTTCCGATTCTGGCTTTCACATCCTCATTTGTGCGTGCACTGCCTGTAGTTGAAATGATGCTGCTGCCTCCTAGATGGTGTGGTGAAAGAGACAACTTCCTCTACATTTCTCTCATTGTGGGTTATTCTTGCTTGTTGTTGTTATAGTTGTGTGTCTGCATCACTTTTGTCTTCTCTACGTTCACGTGAAAGAAGTCGCGTCTTCCTTAGCTGCTCTACCTCATCTATCAATGTGTTAGTTTTCGCCTGTAGATGTTGCAGTTTGTGTGACATGTGACATTAGACATAAATCGTCATTGGCGAAATGCCAATCTTCTCGTGGGTTGTTTTTATTGTTGTGTCCAGCGTATGCCCATCTTCTCGCTACTCACACTTGTTTGTTGCATGATGCAGTCGAGTCGAATCGAGTTGACCACAATGAGGAAGATGATCTGTGATGATAGTGGATGTGAATTTTGTCTTACTCCTATCTTCACTTCACTTGACTTCAAAGGGATCAGTAAGCTTTCCATTGTGAATCGCTTGACATGTAGTATCCTCATATAACATACAGATGCTGTTGAATGAGGTTGATGAATGTTTGTGACAGTGAAACCATAGTGTTGAAGCAGTTGTCAGGTTACTTCATGGTCGACGCCTTGATCGATGGCCTTTTCGAAGTCGATGAGTTAAAGTTGAATGGTTGGCTGCCATTCTGTGCTCTGTTTCATGATGCTCCATGCAGTTTTATCCGCACATGATTTGTTTCTCCTGAAATCTTTCCTTTAACGTTGCTATATCAGAATACTTTATTTTATTATAATTTGCAGTATTACTTACAGTATACAGCATTATTTGCTAGATGGCGCTTCGAAGCTACCAGAAGGTTTTAGGTTTTTGACCACCATTGCCTTCATAGCATAGATTGTTTTTCGTGTTGTGGCTATGTGAGTAACACAAACGTCAGACGTAGAGTTTTATGGAGGACGGAGAGGTAAGATAGTTGATTTAGTTATGAACCTTCATCGACTGAGATGGTTTGATGGAATATGCATTACTTGTGTCTAGCCACGATTTACCTCGTCACACATTGTTGGCCGAAGTAGGTTCAGGCCAGAAAAGGGCTTGAGACAGCCAGAATAAAATGTATGAAGTTATTGACTGTTCGTTAGAGCCATGTAGGACGATACAGACTAGCCGATTGAGGTTCTCTGGACTAGAGAAAACAACAGTGGTTCGAGACTAGGGGATGGCATGGCCTAGAACTGAGGTCAATGGCAGAGATCTATCCACACACCCTGACACACACACACACACACATTATCTTTATCATCTCATTCCTCTTTACTATGTTTCTCTCCCTCTTTATCTTCCATTTTATTGCCTTGTTACTTCATTTGTTGACATGTGAGGTTTGGCTGGCATCTTGGACCGTTGCGCACTGATACCTGGTTCTATCTTGATTATGATGATGATGAATGACTCTTGACATTGATGCTGAGTTACGAGGCTTGGTTCAGTGTGATGACAAACTGTTTGCGAGTACATCAAGCAACTCGAAACTTCCGTTATAACTACTGATCCAAGAAACTTGAGTATGTGTCCACAATCAACCTTGTGATCCCATTCAATGATATGTCGAGCTATAGATCTTGGAAATGAATTATCTGGATCAATTGGGATCATTCTGTATGGTTTTTTGTTGCAGTCGTCTTGGAATGTCCTCTGTGACTGTTACGTGCACTGATCGATGGGTCTATGCGTGTGTAAGGTGGGGGGGGGGACATACGAACATGTAAACTGTTTAACGCAATTAGATGTTACGTCATCGTTTAGATGGTGTGATGGTTTACAAGAGTACAGAAAACGCGTATATCGCAACAACTTTTTCGGGGGTTGTTTACACCGAACAAACATGTTAGGCAGCCACCCAGGAAGACATACTAAACAGTAGAGGTGGATATCCTGAAGAAAACGAAACTTTTGAACCCCTTCAAACCTGTTTATCTCTATCACACAGACAAGCTTCAGACAAGCTATCTAACAACTGACTAAACAACCTTAAGTTTATTCTGCTCCACTGGATTAGAATTATCATCCTGGACATTAGTTCCATTGAGGCTGTTATGCTGGCTTTCTACTATTGACTTCCAAACTTCTGTATAGCGTTGTGAAGATGAGGATAATAATATATGTGTGTGGATACATCTGCACTAGTGACATCTCTTCTCAGACATACCATTACCTAGAGTCTCTAACCGCTGTTGGTTTCTCTTCTCCTGTAGACCCCAACCGGCTGATTATTCTGCATCTCCCCCATATGGCTCAAATCAACAGTCAACGACGTTTTACATTGGTGGCATATTTTATTCAGCCAACCAGCCTGAACCTACTTCGACCAACAGTATATGACGTAGTGATACCACGAAATAAGGAAGATCAACACGGAAGTAATGCCAGATTGTATTGTCTTGGTTGTATTGTGTTCTCTGAGGAGCTGAGTTGTTTAATCGTGCAGAAGCTTTCATCGTCTTGCTAGACGACATAATCAGTACTAACTTCAGTATGAGTTATGTGGTAGCTGTCAATATCTCTTCGTGAGTGATTTAGTGGCTTGCTCTGACAATGTGGTCTGTGATTGGTTGTTTCCCTCGATTATTGTGTCGTTGATTGTATAGACTTTCCTGTAGCACAACGACTTCAGAGAGAAGCGAAGAAAATTACTTGATGTCCACCCTAATGAAGAACGGCTACTCACGAAACTTCATCAGAAGATGACTATTCCGTGCATCATCAACTACAAAGTCATCGACAGAAATTAACAAACGCATCATCCTATCATACATAAAGAAGATGTATCAGAAATCATGACAAGATTGCTTGAGACTACTTGGAGTTGGTGTAGCTCATAAACCAACAAATTCCCTCCATACAGTATTATGTAGACCAAAGGATGCAACAAGCAAAGGAGACAAACCGAAAGTCAACTTGAATAACTGTAGTCAACACACCATATTGGACAAAGTGGTCACCCTCTTCATCTTCGTCTACATGAGCACCAATTAGCTATTAAACGACATGACATTTCGTCACTCATCACTCAATGCATGTGCATAATTATGGACATGAATTCAATTTCGGCACAGTAGAAATATTGGACAGAGAGAGGAAACACAAAGAATATTCATTAGAGAATTCCTAGAAGCTTGGCATTCAGCTCAGTTAGTCAGCAATCCACAGATGTATAGACATAGACCCAATCTATCAACCAATAAGAAAAATGATAAACGATAGAAAGGTGAAGATGGGTTAAGGAGAGGAACAGCCAACAGGGAAATCTATTCAATGATTCAACGACACAATAATCGAAGGAAACAACCAATCACAAACCACTTCATCAGAGTAACCTACTAAGTCACTGATGGAGAGATATTGACAGCTAGCTCATAATTCATTCTGAAGTTAGTGGTGTGGATGATGTCGCTGTGTAGAAAGACGATGAAAGCGTCTCCACGATTAAACAACCCAGCTAGCTCAGAGAACACAATGTAACCAAGACCAACCACCTGAGCTACAAATATTTTCCATTACTTCAAGATTGTATTGTGTATTTAAATGGCATACCGAATTACACTTGACGTTTCTACCGTTTTAGTTGTTTGTCTCCTTGAAGCAAGTTCTTCTGATACCGTCTTCTCGTTGATAATGATAACAATTCTGCTCTCCCTCTTTCTCTCTCTCTTTTTCGTTATAGTGAAGGATTTCCAATTCTTCCAAGTCAAACTGGTTGGTGTAAAGTGTATAAACTTCGTCCGTTGCTAGCTAATAATCGACATAAACGTGGCCTTGCATTGGATGGTAAATTGAAGCATGAAGACACTAATTTAGCCTCATCAACAATGTGAGTGAATACTTTGTGCCTGTATATGTGTGTGTGTGTATGTATCTACAAATGTACGACAGAAGTTCACATTAAATTAATGATGGATAGTGGCTAGCAGTGGAATCCAGGATGCGCATTTCGTCCTATGTGGGACACGTCAGCTGGATGTACCTGATTTCCAGTGCGCAGTGATGTTGTTCCCACCGATATTCGGACTCGGAAGCGATTGCTTAAGATGCCAGGACGTTATCCACTACACCATTGAGCCACGATAGCCGCTACTTGTATAATTCTTTCTATATCATACAGTCGTTGGTTGGACCGAATTGAACAGTCTCTATTGGTATATGAGCACCTTAGTGTTTGCCTCGAAATGCGTATCCTGGTTTCCAAGGCTAGCCACTATCCATCATTACTATCATAAGAGCACAGGTAATATTGAGGCATCCACTCAGGAGCCCATATGCCAATAGAGACTGGTCGATTCGGTTCAATCAACGACGGTATGTTATGAAAAACAGTGTATATTAAAGGTTGGTGAATAGTTTCCAGAATGGACCAATCACGTTCGAGTGTGTATTGACCAATCAGAATCGAGTGTATGAGGGACAAAGTTATTACTAACGAAAATGGTATATAACATGAGAAACCGTTCGACTATGTGTATCGACATTCTTGCACCATTATTATTATTATTTGTCCCTTGGATTCCCAGTGGAACACACGGCTTTAGTAACACGTCTCCACTCCACTCTGTTCTCTGCAATCTTTTCAACCTGGCTGCACGACTGCCGACAAGCTCTCATTTCCTTCTCATACGATCTCCACCATGTCACACTCGCTTCGGACGCCCAACTTGCCGTTTTGCATCTGAGTTCCACTTGAGGGACTGGTCTGGCGCGTGATGTTCCCGAACGGTCTTCTCAGTGCATGCCCAATCCATCTCCACTTCCTTCCACTGCATAATTTGTTGAGCGATAGATTCTTGGTTGGTTAGTTGCCAGGCCAGAGTGAGTTCTCTATTGCTTATTCTTATTATTGTTGACATCTGAGCTTCAGTATTGAGACAGCACAGGCAGTTGTAGATGAATATCTACAGTTTGTTGGAAATGCCTTTCGTAACGCGCCAAGTCTCTGAACCATATAGATATAGAAGCAGTGACTTGACTGGATCGGTGTTGAAAATGGAGATCTCGTTGTTTGTGGTGAGTGCGAAGATCTGCACACTGGTTTCAGGTTAATGAACACCTGTGTTGCTTGTTGTTCGGATGGTGGCTGGCTTTGACGTCTTCGTCTGTGCCACATTCTTGTATGTGAGACCATTATATATCACATCATGATCTTGCCAAAGCTTTTAAAAACTTTCCAACATGACTAGATATATTCTCAACATTATTTGTATGGATTCATGATTATGGTATATAATAGGTCCAAGCATCTACTTATATTCTCCTACCTGATGATATCCATGTCCCTATGAACTAGTCTGATAGGATATATGCTGATTGACTTATCCAGTCGACTTCTTCAATTTATAGTTTATTTCACCACAGTTGATACATATTCATAGTGAAGACTTCTGAAAAGCAATCCAACACTCTTGAAGTAGCTCACAATATAGTGTCTATATCATGATTCATTAACCCGTAGCTGAATCATAATGTGTTAGCTGCGAAATCTGAAAGATATGGGTTCGATCCTAGAATGGGAGGTTATGGGTAAGGATTGCTACGAAGTCAGTTACATACTGAGCTAGAACAGGTGTGCGCGTCCAGTACTCTCATTGGTTCTTCAATCGATGTCCAGTATATGATATGAAATCAATCAATAAATTTCCCCACGAAAACGTTTTGAAATTGATTTATTATTCTTTTTATTGATACGTTTTAGTTGTGGTTTCAATGGATCTATTGTTACAGAAATCCTATTTCCCTTATATTCCTCATCTACATTTTATATATCTTTGAAATGTTTTCATATGATCCGTCAAAGTTCTGATTGGCTATTGCCGTTTTAAATATACCAATCAATCCTTGACTTTCAAGGTCACTGTGAACTCTATAAATACAGGCTCATTTCCACCAATAAACATTTTTCAAACCAATATACTGTCAGCTCAGCTGATTACCGATCTTTTGATTTCTATATACGAATCATTTGGATTGAACCGTCTGTCGACCAACTGTCAACTATTAAACGTTGAGGGTTATCGTTCGTTCTTACAACTCAGAAGAGGCTGTCTTCAGGAAGTACAAATCATGTGCAGATCAAACTGCAACGCTAAGCTATGCATCATCATAGAACAGAGTATACAATGGCAGTCAACTCTTTATCTCACCTCAACTTCATCGACTTTGAAAAGGTTTTTGACAGCGTCGACCGAGAAGTAATTTGGCAGCTGCTTCATTACTACGGAGTACCGCAAACCTTTATCAACCTCATTCAACAACTATATGAAGACGCCACATGCCAAGTGGTTCACAATGGAAAGCTGAGCGACACCTTTGAAGTGAAGACAGGAGTAAGACAAGGCTGCCACCTACTATCACCCATGATATTCCTGATTGTGGTTGACTTGATCATGCCTACGCTCGTTACTGAAGATCCGATGGTCGGAAAGAATAAGCAACAAGGAAGTCTGGGAACGAACCAACCAAGAACCTATCGCTGAAGAAATATGTAGTGGAAGGAAGTGGAAATGGATTGGACATACACTGAGAAGGCTGACTAGGGACATCATGCATCAGACCAGTCCCTCGAGTGGAACCCAGATAGGAAGCGACGAGTTGGGCTTCCGAGGTGAGGGTGACATAGAGGAGATGATGTGAGGAAGAAATGAGAGGTTGTGGGCTGTCATGGATCCAGGTTCAAAAGATTTCAGAGAAGAGAGCGCGTTGGAGACGTGCTACTGAAGCCCTATATTCCATTAGGAACCCAAGGGACAAATAATAATTTCTAGATGACTTCGATGTGAATGTGGATCAGAAGTCCAGACTGGGAAGTCATCAGTGGGAATACGCTGAATGGATAGCCAGGGATCATAGAATACCATAGCAACTAGGTAGATCTCATAATGACTGTGAAGTGAAATTACAGCCTGGTTACCAGATTAGTTAACCAGAAGATGTTGTTGGAATCCCGATGTGTCTCAAAGTTTCGAAGTGAATATGCTGTGTGTATCACCATTGACCGAGAAGTAATTCGGCAACACTATGGTTTTAGTGCCACAAACCATCATCAACCTCATTCAACAGAACCTATATGCTAGATGATGAGGCCACATGCAAAGTTATTCCCAAAGGAAAACACAGTGATACCCTTCAAGTGAAGTGAAGATAGGAGCAAGACAAGGTTGCCGCCAACCAACACTGATCATCTTGATTGTGGTTGACTGGACTGGATTGGATCATGCAACAAACAACTATGAGGAGCTGTAAGAAGATGGCCATACGCTGTCTGCACCGATGAAAACACCTTGGTGAAGATTTGGATTTCGCTGATGACGATTTATGTCTAGTGTCTCATATCGCACAAACCCAGGATCTAGAAGCGAAAACGAACGAGTTGGCAGGGTAGCGAAGGAAGACGGGACTTCCTTCACGTGAACGTAGAGACGGCAGACGTGATGAAGATACCCAACCAACAACAACAAGCACCAATCACCATCAACGAAAGAAAGCTAAACGAAGTTGTCACTCTCACCTAGCGTCGTCTTAACACTAGTACAAGCAGCATAGATGAGGATGTGAAAGCCAGGATCAGAAAAACAGCAAGACAGGCTTTCCTTCATCAATCCGAAATCAGTGCGAATATCTACTGCACTGCACTTACTGCACTCAGGATAAATTGTGAAGAATATCCGGATTTTGAACACTAAGTCAGTCAAGTCAGTGATTCTATGTGATGGTTGGGAGACTTGATGCGTTACGAAAAGTATTTCAAACAAATTAAAGACATACATCAACAGCTACCGCCTACGTTCGTTTGATTCTGAAGATCAAATGAGAAGACGAGAAAGAATAAGCAACAAGGAACTCACTCTGGTTGCCAACCAACCAACAATCTATCTCGCAAGAAATATGTTGTAGAAGGTGGAGATGGATTGGATTGTATTGGACATACACTGAGAAGACGTTTTGGGAATATCACGCATTAGGTCAGGCCCTCGAGTAGAACCCAGATGGGAAACGACGAGTTGGGACTTCCTTCATGTGAATGTAAAGAAGGCAGACGTGATGCAGATACATAACTAACAACAACAACAACAGGTACCAATCACCATGAACGGGAGAAAGCTATACGAAGTTGGTCACTTTCACTTACCTACCTAGGCAGCACTGTAAACTCTATAAACACAGGTCCATCTTCACTAATTAACGTTTCTTAGTCAAAGATATTTCTAATATGAAAGTTTATTTATTTATTCTCACAAATTATTCTCTAATTCTAATAGTATATGCAATCCGAACCATAAAGAAAATCTTGGTATGACTGTTCAATATCGTGTAAAAGTTCGATTAGTTTTAGGATTTGTCTCAAGGTAATTTCAGTTATTTATTTTATTCTCTCTTTAATTACTATTCAATTATTGATTGATATTAATTGAAAAAAAAAACAAAACACAACTATTTATCCACTTACTTACCTTATCAGGACTCGAACTAAAGACCTAGAGGTTATGTATATGATGTTTATCGCTACACTTTCTAATAATTTTCCAACTAATGTTAAATATTAGTGAATGAATATTATGTGGAAATGAATCAGTCGACAAATAAACCTCTAATGAATATTTTATTCTGTTACCATGTTCACTTGCCAACCTAGCCTGGTTAAACTACTTCACTAGTTACTAGCCAGCCCTATGCTCAGATAAATAGGGAAGGTTGGTCATACGACTAGCAACCCTACACCATAAAATCGATGTAACCACTAAAGAAACTTCTAAGCACAGACAAAATATAAAATATAAAAGTAAACTTATTCTTCACTAGAATTGGAGAGACAAAATGACCCCGATTGGTGATAAACCTACGGGAAGCCAGTCAGCTAATGTATCCTATCTCAATGAAAGCGAAAGTAAGAATGGGGATATGAAATGTCAGTGTTTACTTGATGATTTAGTTTTGACTAGTAAAATACTATTTGACTCAATTTATAGTAGATTTTCTAAGGGACACTATGAGATGATGAGAATAACCTTAGGGGAATCTAAGGGGATGGGAATTTCGTTCAGATTGTGGGATTCATTCTTCAGTTCGATGTGCTTGCCTGCTTGTTAATATAATGGAATAAATAGTGAATTACGGTGATTCACAATGGAAAGCAAAGTGATGCCTTTCAAGTGAAGTGAAGACAAGAGTAAGACAAGGTTACCGCCTGCTATCATTGATCATCTTCCTCATTATCGTTGACTGGATTATGCAACAAACAACTGTGAAGAGCGAGAAGATGGTTATACGTTGGCAGCAAGGATGAAAAAACCCCCAGGAGAAGATTGACATTTCGCCCCGATGATGATTTATGTCTAATGTCGTGGTGTCGCAGAAACTTGAAAGTGTCACAAGCAAAAACCAATAAGTTAACAGAAGAGGCAGCGAAGACAAAACTTCTTTCAGGTGAATATAGAGTAGATAGAGGTGATGAAGATGTTCAACCACAATAACAACAAGCACGAATCACCATCAACGTGAGAAACCTATCTACCTAGGCATCATCGTTTCAACTACATGTGGTGTCACAGATGAAGCAAGAATCGGATAGACAGTAAGATAGGCGTTCATTCATCTAAAACTAATTTTGAGATCTACTCCACTCAGCATGAAGAACAAGATCCGGATTTCCAACACCAATTCAGTCAAGTCAGTGCTTCCTTCTATATGATGGTTAAGAGACTAGGCGCATGGAGAAAAGCATTTCCAACCAACTGTAGACATACATGAATAGCTGCCACCTACCCTCACTCGATACTGAAGATGAGATCAGATGATCAGAAATAATCAGCAACATGGAACTCACTATGGCAACGAATGAACGAGGAAGCTATCGCCCAACAAGTATGGAGAAGAAAAAAGTGGAGTTGGATTGAGAACACACTGAGAAGATGGTTTTGGGGAGATCTTGCACCAGATTAGGCCGTCGAGTTGAACTCGCATGGGAAACGATGAGTTTGCTGTCGGAGGGTGACGTGGAGAAGGAGATGGACAGTCATGTAGTGCAAGGATAAGGCAGAAGACTGCAGTGAACAGACTGGAATAGCGACGTGCTACTGAAGCCTTATGTCCCAGCAGAAACCAAATGGATAAATTGGGAAAGTATAAAGGAGAATAATTATTATTTTATTATTTGTTACTTGGGTTCCTTCCTAGTGGAACATAGGCCTTCACTAGCACGTCTCCACTCCACTCTGTTCTCTGCAATATTTTGAACCTAGGTCAACGACTGGCCAGAAGCTTTTATTTCTTCCCCACACCATCTCCTCCATGTCACCCTCAGGTGAGACGCCCAACTCGCCGTTTCCCATCTAGGTTCCACTCGAGGGACTGGCCTGACGCATGATGTCCCCAGTCGGTCTTCTCAGTGTATGCCCAATCCATCTCCACGTCCTTCTGCATATTTGTTGAGCGATAGGTTCTTGGTCGGTTGGTTGCCAGGTCAGAGTGAGTTCTCTATTGCTTATTCTTATTATTGTTGACATCTGAGCTTCAGTATCGAGACAGCGTAGACAGTTGTAGATGAATATCTACAGTTTGTTGCAAGTGCTTTTCGTATCGCGTCAAGTCTCTGAACGATATAGATGTAGAAGCACTGACTTGACTGGATTGGTGTTGAAAATGGGGATCTCGTTGTTTGTGGTGATTGCAGGAGATCTGCACACTGGTTTCAGGTTAATGAACACCTGTGTTGCTTGTTGTTCGGATGGTGGCTGGCTTTGACGTCCTCGTCTGTGCGTGTGTCGCCTATAGTTGAAAGGATTTTGCCTACGTTGACAGGTGAAAGAGTCTACTTCTTTCAAGTTTCTCCCGCTGATACATGCAATACATCTTATTATTTCATCAGGTATGATAAATTACTTTATGAACAGTATAGTATTCATCAAAGGACTGATATCATTGACAATATGGAAACATTGGACATAGAGCTGTTTCATCGGAGTATATGACATCAACTGACGTCAGTTCATGATACATACTTCCTTCAAATAAATGAGGTTCTCACAAACATCAACCTACGCTAATGCACACTGCTCAATGCAGTGATATACCTCAACATGTTTAACGGAAAGTTCTAATGATAAGGCATAACCTATCGAGTTAACTATTCAGCAGGATTGAGGCGGGTATCAGATGATGAAGACATTGAGTAAGAATTGTCATACTTTATGATGACTGAATCCTGAGTTCGATCCGTGGCGTGGTGGGGTTCTGTGTGTATATGGCTGATGAACCTCACACAGGGGGATGAAACATCTGCCATACAGTGCTCCAATGTTATTTTATTATCAATTCAATTGGTTATTTTTTTCTTGTTGTTTTTCTATTTTTAGTGATGTAAGCATTGAACTGCCATTTACACTGACTCATCCAAAACCTGATCCAGAGATTGATGCCACTCTAGCTAGAATTGATGATATAGACGAGAATATTGAATCAGTCGGTGTTGTTGGTGCTAAAACAAAGCCTATCACTACAGATTCTGGTGTAACCTGCCAATCTCAACCAATCCAGTCAATTGATGAACAAGGTGGTGGCGGCGGCGGCAGTAGCATATCTAGTCAACATGTAAATAATCCTATTGATGATTTAATTAAGTTAGATGATACAACAAATGAAAAGTGAGTTTGTTTAACCAGTGAATTGTTTTGTTTTTCTGTTGCTCCCCATCGTTTTCTTTTCTTTGAATGAATTTCAAGGCCACCATAAACAGCTAGTAAAACTGGCCAATCAGATCTCAGGATTCCGGTTAGAAAGAATCGAGAAACGTTATTGGCTACCTCAGCAGTTCTCAGGATGATCTTTCAAGTTGTATTCAGTGTTGATTTCATAAACAAACATTTAGGTGTTATTCTCATCCTTCACTTTGCTATGGTATCGGTTTTAAAGATTTTCTCTTTATTCTGGTCTTTTCCGTAGATTTCTTTATCTACTAATGTATATCCTAGTGTATTTGACCTAGGAATCGTTGCAAAGGATTTGGTAAACTAAACTATTCTACCTTATCCTTTCAATAGGATCTTTTAGCTTATAAAGCTTGTTTCTAAGCAAGTTTGTTGGTTTAAATTCCACCCCTGGGTCTAGGTGAAAGAGACAGCTTCCTTTAGATTTTCCTCCTTGATGGTGAATCGTGCTTCTTGCTGTTGTTGTCGTAATAGTTGAATATCTTCACCACGTTTGTCTTCTCTACGTTCACCTGAAGGAAGACCCATCTTTCTTCCCTACCTTGCCTCTTCTGCCTGTACACCTTCGAGTTTGTGCTACAAGACATTACGAGAAATCATCATAGGCAAGATATAAATCTTTTCATCGGTCAAACAGCCAGCGTACGCCTATCTTTTCACAGCTCCTCACAGTTTGCTGTATAATCCAGGTGACCACAATGAAGAAGGGAGATGATTGGTGATGATTAGTAGGTGGCAACCTTTTCTTACTCCTGTCTACACTTCACTTCAAAGGCATCACTGAGCTTTCCCATTGTGAATCACTTGGCATGTAGTTTTTCCTCATGTAGCACATAGGTGCTGTTGAATAAGGTTGATGAATGCTTATGGCAATAAAACCATAGTTTTGAAGCAGCTAAGTTATATTTATCAATCATAAAATGTAAGATGGTTGACTCCAGAGATTAGAGTTTCTCAGCAGAATAGAATAGAACTTCAAGATTGACCGTCTGACAGTAGTTAGCGAGCACTAGAATTCCTCCGTAGATTCCAATTTTGATAGGATATAAGACTTTCAGGTGTCTCACTGCATTATGTCAACCAATGGACTACATTTTTCTTCTTCGATCAGTTTGCAACATAATTATGCTATGATGATGCAATATACTAGAATAAAGAAACTTTTGTTCAGTCCTCACAGGTTTCTAGTCTATTGTTTCTCAACTGACATTATGTCCATGATAAAAGGTTGAATCATAAACAGTATAATCTTTGAACAAGATGTATATGTATATGTAAGCCAAGATGATGAAGGAATGTTGATACATAAGTGAGATATGATTAGAAGGGGATAAAACTACAAAGGAGATCTTCAAGGCAGCTATCCAGACAAAATGGGAGATATCGAGGAAGATCCCTGAAAAAACCTGTGTGGAAGAACACTGGAAGTCTTTGAAAGAGACGTGGAAAGAAACCTGCACAACAGTATTAGGAAGGAAGAAGAAAGAAGATAAGTACTGGATTTCGATGGATACATGGAAGCTGAAGGAGGAGAGGAGGATGGTGAACTAGAAGATAAACCAGTGCAAGGATGCTCAACGACAAGAGGAACTGAGTACAATGTACAAAACACTGGACAAAGAAGTAAAGAAGAGTGCACGCAAAGACAAAAGACACTTCTACGAAACACTGGCAAGTGATGCAGAACAGGCTGCAGGTAAGAGAGACCTGACGACATTGTATCAAATAACCAGGTTGCTATCAGGGAAGAGATCAACACACATGAAACCAATAAAAGATGAAGAAGGAAATTTAATTACGAAAGAAGAGAAACAGAGGAAACGATGGGCCGACCACTTCAAGAAGCTCTTGAGTCGACCACCACCACCACCTGCACTTCGTCCAGAAATACCACCTGCAGCCGCTGAACTTCAAGTGAACATAAATCCTCCAACGAAAATGGAAGTCCTGAACGCCATAAAGCTACTGAAATGTGGGAAAGCAGCAGGACCAGATGGAATCCCGCCAGAAGCACTGAGAACAGATGCAGAGACCACAGCGGACATGCTGGCACCACTATTGCAGAAGGTGTGGAAGGAAGAGAAGGTACCTGACGATTGGAAGAAGGGGTACCTTGTCAAACTGCCGAAGAAGAAAGACCTCAGTGTTTGCAAGAACTGGGGCGGAATCACTCTCCTATCCACCCAAAGCAAGCAAAATATTAAGCCGCATCATCCTGGAGAGACTATAGGATGCACTGCATCCAAAACTACGACGCGAACAAGCTGTCTTCAGGAAGTACAAATCATGTGCGGACCAAATTGCAACGCTACTCTACGCATCATCATGGAACAGAGTATAGAATGGCAGTCAACTCTACACCTCAACTTTATCGACTTTGAGAAGGCCTTCGACAGCGTCGACCGAGAGGTAATTTGGAAACTGCTTCATTACTACGGAGTACTGCAAACCTTTATCAGCCTCATTCAACAACTATATGAAGATGCCACATGCCAAGTAATTCACAATGGGAAGCTCAGTGATGTTTCTGAAGTGAAGTGAAGACAGGAGTGAAACAAGGTTGCCTACTATCTCCCATGATATTCCTGATTGTGTTTTGGTGGACTGGATCATGCATGAAACAGTGGGGTTCTGTGAGAAGAGAGGGATAGGCTGGACTGTGGGAAAGAACCTAGAAGACTTGGATTTTGCCAGTGATGACTTGTGGCTGATGTCACACAAACTTGAAGATCTACAGGCGAAAACTGACAAGTTGACAGAAGAGGCAGGGCAGCGAAGACGGGACTTGAAGTGAATATAGAGAAGACAGAGGTGATGAAAATATCGAACCAACAACAAACTCCAATCACTATCAACAGAAGAAACTTAATGGAAGTAGCCTCTCTCACCTTCCTACCTAGGCAGCACTTTTTCAACTACAGGTGGCGGCACAGACGAAGACGTCAAAGGCAGCCAGGATCGGAAAGACAGCAAGACAGGCGTTCATTAACCTGAAACCAGTGTGGAGATCTTCTGCGCTCAGCACAAAGGGTGGACAAGATTCGGATTTTCAACACCAACGTCAAATCAGTGCTTCTGTATGGCTGAGAGACTTGGCGTGTTACGAAAGGGATTTCCAATAGACTACAGACATTCATCAACAACTGCTTACTCTCGCTACTGAAGATCAGATGGATAGCCAGAAAGAATAAGCAACAAGGAGCTCTGGGAACGAACCAAAGAAGCAAGAACCTATCACCCAACAAATATGCACTGGAAGGAAGTGGAGATGGATTGGCCATGCACTGAGAAGGCCGACTTTGGACATCACGCGTCAGGCCAGTTGCTCGAGTGGAATCCCCATGGGAAGCGACGAGTTGGACGTCCGAGGGTGACATGGAGGAGGAAATAAGAGCTTGTGGACTGTCGCTGAACCAGGTTGAAAAGATCTCAGAGAACAGAGGTCACTGGAGACGTGCTAGTGAAGCCCTATGTTCGATTAGGAACCCAAGGGACTAATAATAATAATAATAAAATAATACATAATCGTTATGATAATAAATATCTAAGCTGCCTGTGCTATATGAAGTAAGCAAAAGTATGGCTTCGATATTGATGGTAAACTAATCAATTATGAATGTACATATGACTCCGTTTATTAATCTAATCTATCCACTATTTAAGCATGATAAGTGATTGAAGTAACTAACAGATTAGTACGAAATACGCTATTAACCTACTGAGTTACATAAACTAGATACACATAGGGATTGTTCTCTCTCATACCCGATACTTTACTAAGCTGTAAAAGTATCATAAAACAAAAGACCAGTGTGTAATTGTAAATGAGACAAATTCATTTGACAAAAAAAGCACACATTTATATACAGTTTTTCAGCAAATAAAGTTACTAGGTCATAAGTCGGATTCTCATTCCTATTGGTTAGCTGAAGGACAAAATTGTCCAATAAGATTTTATCCTCCCAAGCATATGTAAGGCTGAAATCGAAAACTTATTTTCACCTTAACAGCTGATAACTTGAAATACTGATTAAAGCAGCTTCCTGATATGGAGAATAAAGAAAGAAAAGCCTAGTCTGAAAAGTGACCAATCAAAATGCACTTTATCATGCCTACAGTTAGATAGACAGACAGATGCTGGATCAGCCAACCAATAGGATTTTAAACAGCGAACTGTCTATATATTAGCTGCCTTCAATCTTTCTACCCCAAATACACCTCTTTCTACAAGGCCATCGTGACTTCTCCACTAATTGTTCGCGTCGGGAATCAACTAGGAATTTGTTGAATGTTCCTGGCTGATACTCGATATCTATACATCGTTAGCGGCTACAACATATAGGAGTCTCGAAATCATAACAGATGCGATGGGAATGGGATATGGGAAATAGATTCTTCGAAGTTGGATAAATTTCTCCAACAAAAAAATGAGGATTATCGAGATCATCTTCAAAGAGGATTCCCGGTAGGTACGTATCCTAATTCGTTGCAAAATTCACGTGATCACACTTTTGATGTCACAGTCCAGACACTGAATGACATATCTACAGAATATCAAGGATTACACAACCTGCAGCTTGATAGGAGTTTAGCCTAATCCTGACTCCAGGGTGGTTGAGAAGCATATGCATTTCGTCAGACATCTCTTCCCTTCGCATTACCCTCTACCCACATACCCCCAAGCCTTGTCTCATTGGCTGAGTAACTCCAGCGATACCAACTGACCCTTGAAGAAGATACCCTTATCGCCTTGTTGGCATTGTGGTGCCTGACACTTCGTCAAATCTTGACCATCAAAACAGCATTGAGGTCGGAACTGTAGTGCTTGGTGGGGTCTATAAGGACGGTTTTTGTCGCCAACACACAACGACCTATACAAACGTCATCTTTGAGATATCGCTGCAGATCTCATTGTCGATCGGTAGATAAATCTGTTGACATGATGGCTGATTTCCATGCCTACCGAAAGAAAATTGAGAAGACTGCTGATCCCCAGTAAACAAGGAGAAACACCCTCTTGGTCATTCAGGTAAATGGAAGAAAAAGACGGTGCGACCTATTCTCACTTCAAATAACATTCTTTCGAAGATGGAGATAATATGGGGATAAAGAGAAAAGCCTAGTTTGGATAGTGACCAATCAACATATAGTTTATGTTACCACGTGTACACTTAAGCAGATAGGTAGAAGCCGGATCAGCCAATCAATAGGATTTTTTTTAAACAGCGAAATGTCTATATGTTAGCTGTATTCTCCTTTGTTCACTGAGATCTTCAATCTTTCGACTCCAAATACACCTCTTTCTATACGTCCATCGTCTCTTATCCATTGATTGTTCGGGTCAGGAATCAACTAGAAATTTGTTGAATGTTAGTGGCTGTCACTCGATGTCTATGCATCGTTCGCGGCCTTTGAATATAGGAATCTCCAAACCATAACGCATCTTATAAATGAAACTTAAAAATTCGACGATATAACTGTCTTATTGTTCACTCAATATTACAACAAGCTTTATAGGAGCAGCTGAACTGTTAAATGTACCATGAGGGCGGTAAAATCAAGTAGCCTGTCTTTATTTCTTGCACCTAGAAGTCAGCAAATGTAGAAATTACTGTTATTATTTGTTTATTCGGTTCCTAGTGGAACATAGGGCTTCACTAGCACGTCTCCACTCCACTCTGTTCTCTGCAATATTTTGAACCTAGGTCAACGACTGGCCAGAAGCACTCATTTCTTCCTTACAGCATCTTCTGTATGTCAGTCTCGCCTTCGACGCCCAACTCGCCGTTTCCCATCTAGGTTCCACTCGAGAGACTGCCATTTGATGTCTCCGAATGGTCTTCTCATTGCATGCGCAATCCATCCCCACTTCCTTCCAGTGCATATTTGTTGAGCGATAGGTTCTTGGTCGGTTCGTTGCCAGGTCAGAGTGAGTTCCTTGTCGATTATTCTTATTGTTCTGGCCATCTGAGCTTGATTATCGAGACAGCGTAGGCAGTTGTTGATGAATATCTGTCGTTTGTTGCAAGTGCTTTTCGTATCGCATCAAGTCTCTGAACCATATAGATGTAGAAGTAGTGACTTGACTGGATTGGTGTTGAAAATGGGGATCTCGTTGTTTGTGGTGAGTGCAGGAGATCTGTACACTGGTTTCAGGTTAATGAACTCCTGTGTTGCTTGGTGTTGGGATCGTGGCTGGCTTTGACATCCTCGTCTGTGCGTGTGTCGCCTGTAGTTGAAAGGATGTTGCCTACGTGGGTAGGTGGAGTAGGTACTTCCTTTACGTTTCTCCTGTTGATGGTGATTGCAGCTTATCATTGTTGGTGGTGGTGTGGGTTGGGTATCATCATCACCTCTGTCTTCTCTACGTTCACTTGAAGTCCCATTTTCGCTGCTGTACCTTTTCTGTCAGCTTGTTGGTGTTTGCCTGTAGATCTTTACGTTTGTGTGACATTAGACATAAATCATCATCTAGGCGAAATCCAAATATTGTAGGGACTTTTCATGGCTCCTCACTGTTTGCTACATGATGCATAGTTGGCAGCCTTGTCTTACACATTTCTTCACCTCGACGGCATCACTGAGCTTTCCTATTGTGAATCATTTGGCATATGGCGTCTTCATATAGTTGTTGAATGAGATTGATAAAGCTTTATGGTACTTAAACCATAGTGTTAAAGCAGTTGCTAAATTGCTTTACAGTTGACACTGTTGAAGGCCTTTTCAAAGTCGATAAAGTTGAATTGATTGGCATTCTATGATGATGTAT